GGGGTGTTCCCTGGCTGCCCTGGGCTGTAGCGATACAGTGAGAGGGCTGGAACAGCACGAACATGGGGCAATTTGGGTGGTTGTGACACAGTGGGAGGGCTGAAACAGTGCGAACATGGGGCAGTTTGGGTGGCAGCAACACAGTGGGAGGGTTGAAACAACAACAATATAGGATGGAGGCTGCAAGAAAACAGCAAGAAAAAGGAGTTTCGGGGTAGCAGCAGCAATATAGGATGGTTGGAACTCGGCGGCAGCACTGTTGGTCGACTAAAACTGCTGGGGTAGAAAAGTTGCGGGAGGAGAAGGCAATGGCGATGGATAGAACTGCAAAAAACAGCCACCTAAATGTTGTCCTAGGTTGTTGTAGCAATGAAGGGCGACTAGGAGCAACATTGGGAGGATGCGGAAGAGCATAGGAAAAATACACCTCACGTGGAGACCAAGATACAACCAAAGCACCATCAGGAACCCTAAAATACAGACCTCAAAGGGAAGAGGCGCTAGTGGCTGCCCCGATACAAAATACCAAAAAAATTAACCCTAAGCTCCCATGAAAGCGAATTTATAATAATAGAATAACTAGGAGTGGGTCAAGAAACATGATGGCACTCCCAAAATAAATAAAAGACCTGGACCGGTTTGGTCCAGGTGAGCAAACAGGTTGCGGAGGTCGCCGCATCATATCTGTTGGAAGTGAGAAAGCATGCGTGGGAGAGTCGCCTGTGTGCGGGAGTCGCGGCAAGGCTTGCGTGTAGGAGTTGTGGGAAATCCGACTTGCGGGAGTCAGCTCGCCCTGCGTGGGTCTGGGCACCTCTGCACCGTGTAGGGTGCTCCCACATTAGTGTCGATACAATTACCGTTTAAAAATTTGATCATCTTATCATCCTTCACATTTAGATATTTCACCAACAAGCAATTCCTAAATTGTAAATTCAGCAGTAGAGTAGTGAACAATGCATAATCGAACACCCCTTGCAATAAAACCATTCTGTATAAGCGGAATGGATATAATGTTTCACACCATTAATGCGTGTAAACAACATAGAAGTTTGGGAATGAAAATAGATCTCTTTTAGTCACTCAAAGTTTACTAACTGCATTTTGTTAAAAAAATGTGCGAGTAATGACATCAATCATATTGATTATCAGGGAGATGCAATAAAGAGCATTTGTAGGTTTGTCGCCTATGCTAGCTTAATGTTTCAAGACAAAAGCATATTCTTGTTAAAAATTAACCACTTAACAATGATAGGAACTTAACTTTGCTTGCAAGTTGACAAATTGACAGATTACGGGACTAGTTGGTCAAAATTAAAAAATAATGCATTTTATGCAAGAAAGTGATTTTGATAATGTAAAGATTGATGGACAACATAAAACTCACTATCAAACATTGGATATTATTAATTTGTAATATTTAATTTCTCATTTTAGAAAACAAGTGTATATTCTCCTAAAACCCATGCATCTTTTAACCATATTTCTAGTGTATGTATATATGATTTATTTTCTTTAAACCAAGGGTGTCGATGAATGTGCTCTGTATAAATTTCCTTCCTCTTGTATATCTTTTTTTGTAACGCCAAATGAGCAATACAAAGAGGTTTGTTTGAAAATTTTCGTACTTCGAATAAATTGTTGCAATCAATTTGGTAAAATGAGAGGGGAATGAGCAATGTTTTTATATAAATACGTTGCTCCAAGTCAACTTCTCATCAAACCACACCCATTTGACTTTGTGCCATTACATTCAATTGAGTTGGAGGGTGAATCTCACATACAGGTCAAAAGAAGACAATTGTTAGGAATGAGTAATATTTTTATAAAATGGGATGCTCCAATTCAACTTCTCAGCAAACCACATCCATTTGACTTTGTGTCATCACATTCAATTAAGTTGGAGCGTGAATCTCACATACAGGTCAAAAGAAGACAATTGTTAGGAATGAGTAATATTTTTATAAAATGGGATGCTCCAATTCAACTTCTCAGCAAACCACATCCATTTGACTTTGTGTCATCACATTCAATTAAGTTGGAGCGTGAATCTCACATACAGGTCAAAAGAAGACCATTGTTAGGAAAGGTGGGTTTAAGATAACTTACAAGATTGGCAGAAAGGCACAAGATACAAAATATCCAAATCATATTAAAAAGATGATATAGTTTCTCTTCTCCCATACACTACTCTTCATACAAGAGAATGAATCCAGAGTGGGGAGTCGTGATCCCAAACAAATCATACAAAATGGCAACATTGAGCTGGAGACAAAAGGCCTAAAGCTATAATGCATGTACACTTCAAAATGTCTTCTGTGATTGTGCAACATAGGCATGCCTTCAACACGCTCTGACAAGTGTTAGGAAAATTTAAAATTTTTCCTGACATATTCTTCCTTTAAATTAGAGCCTCACAAGGTTTGGACTCACCCCAACATGGAACTGACAAGTGCACAATACATGCAGAATACATTACAAACGATTTTAATTGATTCACTCATTTTCGTTCAAATTTGAAATGAGATACTAAACTCCATTTGAAAAAGTCAAAACCACCAAAACGCGTTTAGGGACGACTTAATTTAATCCTGCCTCTGCCTCTAGTTCTAGGACCAATGTATCATCCATTAGATTTCTGAGCTCAAGCAGGTCACCATTCATCTTCTTCCTCCTGGATGTGTAAACTTGTCATTTCTCGTCCGAAAACTAGCTCATCTGATCAGTATGTTGGTCAACATATTGTCGGGCATGTATAATTTGTTGAATCCCTTGCACCTGACTAATAGTAACAGATTGCTCGTTTAGATGAGGTGATAGAACTATAGCAGAAGGATTATCAACCGTTGTAACTACATTAGGTTCTAGTGAATGAAAAGTATGAATTGTCGCCTCTGCATCAGATACTTCCTAGGGATGTGGAGCTGCAAGGCTCTCATGATTACCAGTACGAACATTTTCCTTTATAGATAAGGATCATTCAGTATTGTTTTCAATAATGTTTGAAGGTGTAGGTTGCCCAGCAGAGCCATCCGACAACACGGCAATCACAGAAACAAAAGAGTATTGTCAGGGGGGTCCCCAGAGGCAATTAAATCAGACACCAAATCCTGTCTTGTGGTAATTTCCTCCACAGGTGGGGCCGATGTGTCCAAAACAGTGGGGTTAGATCCATCCTTATTCCCTTATGTTGTAGATTTCAAGTTAGGATGGAGTCTATAGCATTTTTCAAGGGTATGCTCAAACATCTTACAGTGGGTACAATAGAAAGGTCTATGTTCCATGACAATTTGTTGTTAATATTCATTATGTGTTGTGCTCTAACAAACTTCCGTAATATCAGGTAAAGTGATATCTCATTCCACGAGTATTCTGGCAACAAAAGGTCTGGTTAGATTGAAGGTAGGTAGATCAAGCTTCATAGGATCCCTAAGTAAGACCCAAATAAAGTAAAGAACTTTGATTAAAGAAGTGCAGTTTGAGACCAGGTAAACTAAACCATATCCGTATAGTGGGAGGTTCAAGGTTTGGGTCAAAATCAGGAGTCCACTTGAGTAACTTCATTGATTTTCCTGCAATGTTAAAATATTTTTTAGAGAAAACCCGAGCATAGTCTTCAGTCATAATTAACTGAATCAATACATGCCTCTCATCAAAGAGACTCACTAGTCACTTGTCTATAATTTTGAGATCATCAAAACTCTTTCTGATTACATCCATAGGTGAGTATCCCCACTGAAATTTTTTAATAAGGGCGAATTTGAATTTCTCTGTTGAAATTTCTAAATCAAAGAAAAAGAGTATTGTTTTCTCACCTTTCCTACTTGCCTTCTTAACAAAAAGACAATCACCAGTACATTCATTATAGTTTGAGAGGAAGACAACAGCCGACTCCACCAAATTATTACCCACCACGTGGGCGAAGGAGGCTTTCTCAGGTTCAAACGAAGAAGGAGAAAGCACACCCATCACCTGCGATGATGCCCCGTATGCGCGGTAGGCGATAGAGTCAGAAAAGGCAAGCTCACAGACGCTCGGCGTCGACGCTAAGAGGGGAGCGCAGAGCCGACAGAAGACTTGAAGACGTGATCGCAGATCAACGTCGAAATAGACGACGACGCTAAAAACGAGAGCCGGCAGACGCGAAGAGCTCGACGTCAAAACAAGCTAGCAGACGGAACGAGGCCGAGGACCAATGAGTGCAAGCCCTTTTTCCTTCGATAGCTTCTGAATCATACTCTACTGAATCACAGACGACCGAAATTTATGAAATACCATACATATATATATATATATATATATATATATATATATCTTCTTGATGGACAATTTGAATGTAATGGGAAATAAGAATGATAAAATATGTGATATGGTGAGTAGCATCAACTCAATAAAAGGCAATGAAAACTAAATATATAATTTTAATTAAAAAAATTGATAAAATTTAAGAAAAGGTACAACAAAAGTAACGTGTGTAGAGTTTGACCAAAATACGTTTAAAACTGTATGAAGCACTTAATAGAGATGAATAGAGAATGAAAATTCATAAAGTCACTCCAAATAATTGGGGATTTAGCTAATGTAGATGGTGCTGATGACGGCAATATTTTTGTCTTGTCATAAAGGGCATAACACCCTCAACTTATTTCACCAAATTAATCTTTATGTGGCTGTAGCAACAAGAAGTTATCAATACCAATATGCTATTAAATAAATGCAATGCCATCATACAATTTAGGTTCTATAAGTGTGGTGGTTGTCATTAATACGCTAAAAAAAGACCAGATTGTTCATGTTAGGAGCTCTCACATCCAAGTAACGAAAATCCATAGCGCCAACTAGTATTAGATAATGGTATGGAGACTAATTATTTGATATATGGCATGAAAAGCCAACAGCATCCAGAAAAATACGATGAACAATTAAAATTCAAAATGACACCAAATGCACATATAAATCTGCATGAAAACACGTTGACAACAGCAAGAGAGTATTTTTCCTACCTTCTCATTTTCGAGTTCATTCCTTAATTTTCTTAATTCAGACTCTGCAGCATCCATTTTCTGTTTCAATAAAAAACATAATAATCAACAACCACCAGATATTTCTTAGCATTAGAACAACAAATAACCATGTTGAAATATGGAACTTTCTTTTATTTGCAGTCAAATTTTAAGGAAGATATAATTGGGAAGAAAAATCAGTTAGCACAGTTCCGCTGGTAGCACAATCACAGTACAAACCACAGGCATAATAATGTGTGTTGCCTGAGGCCTTAACATGAAGAAACAACACTCAAAACCAACCAAATAAATGCTTTTTTTTTTTTTATGAATGAGAGAACGGAGAAGAGAAGCGAGGTCATAGAGAGAAATAATTTTTTCAATAATTTATCATAAAATGTTTTCCTAAAGATAAAGTTGGAGAACTGTTGTTTCAACTTAAAAGTAGGTAAATATAGGCAATGCTACCCACTTGGATCCCAACAGAGCAAATTAGACTGAGAATTGTGTGGCAGTTATCCAGAGAAACAACAAAAAATTTATAACATTTAAATAACAGATGAAGTCCAAAAAAAGTCCTATTATTTCTATGGACTAATTCAATACCAAATTATCAAATTTTTAAATTTAGTCCCTCGATCATACAAAATTGAACCAAAATATCTCCTCCAATCAAATTCATCAAAAACTTCATGAAACTATCACGTGATTTGTTGATATTCACACCAGTAACACTGATGTATTAAATGTATATTTACACAATAGTACTCAATTTAGAGTTTAATTTTTTAAAAATTAATATAATTGGCTCAAGTGAACTCAAAAGTCTATTTGCATCTTTTTTCCTTTTTCTCATAGCAAAATCAAGATTCTCAAATTTTAGTTGAGGCCAGCTCAATCAAACTCAACTCGTCATCACTCCTACATCCCTGACCATAAAGTAGCATGTGAAACCTGATAAAAGCTTCATCCAGTACTAAAGGACAAGGGTAGGCGAGTAAGACAGACACTTCCCAGCAAAGCCTTGTTGGCATATGAAGGTTATGTACTTTTTTTTTCTTTTTAAGCATGCCTTCAATTCTGAAGTCTTGCAAAAAATGTTTATAAATAAAATGAACAAATGAGATAATCAATGATCATAAACATTAAAAACCAAATAATGAAATAACGAAGTGGCATTACTTTTCTGGTATTAGCAGAAGCCATGAGTTCATCTTGAATTTGTGCTTCCAGCTGCCTAGCTTTCTTCTCGGACGCTACCAGACTCTCCCTTGCATCTTCCTACAAGGACAAAAATCAGTTGAACAGAAAAATCTGAGAAAATTATAGTGCAAGAAATTATAATTAAGAGAAGTAATTATGAAACGTTTAACATGAGTCCATACCAGCTTAGATCTTAGCATTTCCACAAGCAATCGACTCTCTTTCTCTGAATCCTGGATGATCAAAGAAATAATGAGAAAAATTATCTGATAATATTGAAGCCCTTCTCAACTGTATATAAACAGAATAAGCAACAATTCAACCTGAAGCTTAGCAATCAATTCTTGCTGTTCTCTATGTTGCCTCAAGTAAACATCAGCCTGTCGTTTAATCTCCTCCTGAGATTCTAAATGTGCTTTTTGTATGGCAGACTTTAGATCCATTTCTGCTCTTTCCCGCTCCCCCCTTCTCTGATTTCTTTCTTCATCTAATTGAGTCTCTAGCTCTGAAATGGTTACCTTTTGACTGCCACATATTTTCCAATCCAATAAAATGCAAATTCAGTGGATTAAGATGATTAAAGCAAAACCCTACAAAAATTTCAAATATACAAAGGAAAGCACAAGGCCAAAAATGGTTAAAAAATTTTATTTCCCTTCGCTTCTATATCATATGTGGCAAATTTGGCTTTTTATTAGCCCTTGTTCATGTTCCTTCGGATGTATCTGAGTAGCTTTTATTTCAGAATCAACCATTGATGGATGTTTTGTGGGGATTTCAACGACAATAATTATTTTGAAGCTAGATCCTCTGACATTGATCTAAAGTAATTAGATGGTGTGGGCAGGTCATAGGATGGGTTGGGAGATTTGTAGGATGAGAAATGGAGAGGGTAACTGACACGAAAACTTCTCCTGTATGCCTTGACCTGCTGGATTCCACAATTGCAGAATCAATCCCTCGTCCTGGTAGAGATATTTTGCAGGAATGTCATGATTCTATGAATGTCCAAGGAAAACATGATTGTGGGAGTGAAGGAACCGCCCGGATGCTTTATTTCAGCCTATTATTTTATTTTTTTATTTCTTTCCTATTTTTCTGTTTCTAATAGGTTCTTTCTATTATGAAACTATTTCTATGTTTGCTTTTTGATTGGTTTTTTTTTTTTTTTTTTTTTGATAGAGAATATCTCTAAATTATGCTCTAACTAGTGTTGTATCATTTTCTTTTTGCAAGGCAACAAGTGGTGTATCTTATCTTGCTCACAAACAAGTGAGGTAACCTCATAGCCGCCAATATCTCACTGATTCACTGCTAGGCCACAGTTTTCAGTTCAGAGAGCTGCTGATGGCCTTGAATATGCTATCCAACAGCAGATTCATCCTCACACTGCCTTCCAATCATGGTAGATCACTCATATTAACCTTCCCTCACTATTTCACAACCACCTTTTCGCTAAATCCCCTTCCTAAACACCTTTTAGAAGCCCTAGAATGGTGTCATCTGGTATCAGAGCTATGTTGCCCAAATTTTTTAGGAATTTGCCCTTCCTACACCTAAACTAAGAATCCATACAACTTAACCTAACACCCCCACATCATCCACCTAGCCCTAATCCTAAACTATATTTTTATTTTCTGCCAAAACTTCCATTGGATGAAAAAGAAACCATGCCGTCAGGGAGAAACCCTCACGAGATGTCCAGGAGATCACAATGAAGGATATGCAGCGCGAAATCCTATAACTGTAATAAAAGCTTGCCACATGCTTGGTATAATTAATCCTGAAGCAGGGTTGATTTTCTAAAATATTATTTTGAAAAATATTGAAAACACCTCTACACCTACCTCTAGATTTTCAAGGAATACACATATCAATATCTAAAAATAAGAAATATTTAATTCTAATATAAGGTTGAGTTCCGCTAAACCTGCTTCCTGAAAACAGAAAACAGGAAAAAGACCCAAAAGCTGAACCCAAAAGCCTTTAGTTATCAAAGTATCTGCAAATAAACTTATTTACGGTTGACAGTAAACAAAAACTGCTATTAGCATACCTATTAATTATCTCATCTGCATCGGCACGTGATTGCAGGGATGCCTTAAGTCTCTCATTAAGATCCTTGATAGAATTCTGCAGTTCGGCAGATGTGGCACTGAAATCATCTAATTCTTTCTGTTTTGCTTCTAATACATTCAGCAGATCTTTAATCTGACCGTCATATGAATTAGAGACGGTTTCCTTCAGCTCTTTCAGCTCCTACAAGAAACAATATAATTGCAGAAACTTTAGTCATGACATTAGTTCAAGCTATAACTTTCGATTTCTTTTTCATTTTGCGAATTTTCATACTCAGCACACAATTCTTACGTATTTACATATGTCACACCTAAACTTTCATATTTACCTACATAGCACTTTGATGCTTCAAACCTATGCATAAAAATGTGTATTTCACTGTTAAAAAGTGAAAATCGTGTTATTTTTGATGTGATGTTAAAGATTTGAGTAACATATGAAAATATGAAAGTTTAGGTGTGAGATATGTAAATACATAAGAATTGTGTGCTAAGTATGTGAATGCCCTTTTCTTTCTTTCTTAATATAAGCCAGGAGATTATTTGAGTTTACGGCCAGGTCATGCTAAACAGCACAAGGTGATGATTGTCAGCAACAATATCAGAAAGATATCAAACAGTAACTTTAGGAAGCAAAAGGACTCTAAGGCCAACAAAAAAGCATCAAATAGCTTCATCCCAATCCTGATAGGAAAAAATCATTTACGAATATAAATTGTTGCTGTGTATTTTGGTAATTTAACATCCAAATATTTGATTAACAAGAAAAATCAAAATCAGACCTAACCTAGGGATCTGTAACCATAAAAACCCTCAAACAAGATTCTATGCATAATCCTAAGAAATTGAGGTAGCCAATTTATTCTCAATGTTTTCCCGATATCTTTAAATATTAAATATGTTTTGTTATGAATATAACATAAAATACTTTGAGTAAATTTAAAAGTACGAGTTTACAATTGCAATTACAAAACATGTTAAAAATATTTCTTAATCAATTACATACATTTTCATGGCGAGCATTTATCAACCTGTTTTCACTGTGCAAAGCCTCAATGGTAAGAACATGAGATTCCAATTGTTGCCTAAGTTCCTGTTGCAAAGGAAATATGTAAAATAGCACAGTTAAGAAAAGAAAATCAACAAAGAAACACGTAAAACCCTTCAAAACATTGAAAGCTAGAATCCAGTACGAAAAATACCATGTTTGATCGTTGCAAGCTTCGAACATCATCTAGAGAAATAGGTCCATCAGATGCACCAATTCCAATACCTTTTAACCTTTTGCTCTCATTGCTCAAGTCCTCTACAAATAAGCACTACAAATAAGCAATTTGGAGACCAAAAAAAAAAAACTATTTACAAAATTCAAAGTGCTTGACTAATTTGGAAAACATTAAGAAGAGCTATGTATCATAAAAAGAGAAAATCCTTTACTCAAAAAAATCATCATTCATAAGCTAAGGTCAAATAGCCAAAGTTATCAAGGAAACAGATGAGAGGAAAAGTGCTCAGACCTTTGAAGTTGCATGCATATTCCATTACATTACAGAGGAATAATCCAACGAAGTTTCTCGATGTTGATTGGTTGAATATCCATGCACATCACAAATATGATCTAGATGGTAGATCATTGAATGCTTGTCACATTTGCAATCATCAAGATTCTCTTCTAGTCCTTGCAATGTTTTCTGACTTTCTGTTCCATTGTTGATTACATTTGACCAAAAAACATGCAGACAAATTTACATTCAGTAAATTACTAATTTGACCTATTTTCGTGCCTTTTTGAAAATTTGACCCACCTGTTATGAGCGATAATGATCTACAATAGTTTTATTTAAAAAGATTCCTATTCACGTGAATCCATGACCATTCGAGGAATCGGGGATCAGTTGTAGTGATCGTTTATTTACTGTGACTAAGATGTGCATGTAACTGCATCTTAAGTCCATTATTGGTCACATATTGTCCACTTATGTGTTGATTTGTGAATTATTTGTGATTATTAAAAGTGTATAACATTTATTTAAAGTTTAAAGCATTGCAGATGATTTGCATATAACAACATTTCATTCACATTAGCTGCACATGGAATCTCTCCTACGCTTATAACTAGGAGCAATGTTAAGATTCATTTCCATAACTAGTTCAAAGAATTATGAGAGTTCTAGAAGCAACATAGTAGTTCTGTATCAAGTACTCTGAGTTCAATTCAAATTCCTCTTTTGTGTTCTATTCTTGATCTCTTTGATTCTTTCAAAGTGACTTATATGCCATTTTGAGCATCCATTAATGTCATTCACAATTTTTAGTTTTCTTTTTAGCCGTATTATTTAGTCCAAAAAGCCATTTTAGTCTATTATATTTTAAGTCCAATTTTTGAAAAGTTTGGGTATCTCCCAGCATCTCCCCTATTTAGAAGGCATTTCCAACGAGTCTAGGCTTGCTTACCACACCAAGAAAAACATTTTTGGTGATGCCTAAAGCACCACAACTGGATCTTCTTCTCCTATGATGCCCAAAAAGGTGTGTAAGATTTCGTACCAACATAAAATTTACAAAATGAATTCCCACTTCACGTCCAAAAAAGCATGCATGGAAATTTGTTTTTAGCACCTCAGGTCTTCAAATGCCACCTTGTCAAAAAAGGCATGCATAAATCTTCCCCCATCACACCAAAAAAGACGCGTCCCATTCACCTATATGAGAAAATTAATCAAGCAACGTAAGATTTGTTTGTCACATTAGAATCATGAGCGCAGGTCCATAAGCATTGTGGCAGGCTTCTTTTGTTTTCTTTTTACAGTATAGCTTGCATGCGGGATGTGCCAATGAAGCGTAACCTTTTTTTTCTTATTTTCATCTTTCTTTCTACCTGCTTCAACTTCATTTCTTTTTCCACTTTTTTTTAACTATGTTTAAAGAGAGAAACAAAAAAAGAGTAAGAGATAGTAGGGGGAGTAGAGAAAAAGGAATAAGGAGAAAGGTTAGCTAGAGAAATAGAGAGGAGGAAAAGAGTTATATTAGAGAGAGAAAAGTTGGGAGTGTGTAAGAGGGACGGGGCAAGTTTTGAACTGAATTTAAGCAGAATTTAACTTAAATCCGAGAGTTCAACAACTCCTCTTCTCCATCATACTAGCAGATACCACCAAGCCTTCTCCAGGGAGATACCTGTGATGCCTTCCTCTCCTTCACCAGGTGTTGATACCATTGATTCCATCTCACCCGAGCAATTGATATCACCGATGTCTCTCACAAAGAGCATCCATCATGAAGTCCACAACTATATTCTATTTAGGGTTTCCAAAATATGGGTCGGTGATAGATTGGAGATGGGAAAGAAAGAGAGGAAGATAACACCCGAGTGGGTGAGCCTCTTATGTGAGGCACAGACATGTGCTGACAGTGAAAGCAAGGGGACCAGAGGCATGGACGGACCACCTTACCTTTTTATTTCTTTTATATCTTATTATTAGGTCAACATTTGACAATATTCAAGCAATGAAGTTTAATAATTTAAAACAACAATATAAACAGAGGAGTCAACTTTTAAAACTTAGCTCTCAAACATCTCATCTTTAAACATAATATTTAGCGAATCTCAATAAAAGAAAATTCTATTTTCAATAAGCCCCTAAATTCCCATAACGAATAGTTTCAACCCAAATGAAGATAAAAATGTCAAAATCTAAAAAAATTATAAAATTTAAAAATTAGCTTAAAACTAAGAACAAATATCATCAACACTCTACAACAATTTATTAAAGGTGACAAATTTAAGACTAATATAAGCTTACAAAGAGTAAATGTCATATTAAGTGTACATTTATAATCACTCAAAAATTTCATTCTAACAAGTTTATGGTTCATGTTACTAATCAAATGGTTTTGCCTCTAAATGATACTTCAAAAGTAGGTCAAGGCTCTCTGACTATGTATTTTGTCACAAAATATGACTATTGGTAACAACCAAAGCCAAAAAGTTTTAAAATGACACAAATCCCCCAAGAGTTGATCGTAAATTGCATTTGATAGAACACAAATCCCTCTGTCAGCTAAGATGCCCTTAAAATTGAGCCTCTAAACAAACAACCACGTCAGGCCTACAAAGCCTCCTTGGATGGCACAAACTACGGCCACTGACAAATGAGCTATCGATTAAGTTGTGTTGACAACATCCACTAAGTAAACTGAGTTTATAACAATCTAAGATAATTGAAACATGACCCCCCAAAAGAAAAAAAAAACTGCATCAACTTCATGATAAAGATCATATATTTTCCACAATCCTAATTCAAACTATTGTTACTATATGTTGAGCATTTACCTTCTATCAGTTAACCTTAATCAAAGGATCTCTCTTAAAATCTTGAGGGACAAATAACATAGTGGCTTGCGCCTATACGATTCTTGGAAACAGATTTTGAAGTCCTCACAAAGCTAGAGTAAACTCTCGAGGTAGTATCTTACTCAATTACTTGTGAGCTAATCTACCTCCCAAAAATTTGACCCATAACCTAACTCTCTTGAAAGCGTCGGTCATAAATTTTTGAAGCCCGTAGCTTGAGTAGAAAATGATATTACAATTTATAAGTAAAACAAAAAATAAAAAAAAATGACATAAACAGCCAAGCTACAAGTGGCACAAAACATCGATAAATAGTGCTCTCGCTTATGGGAAAGGTAATTAACCTTAGATGCATATGTCCATGAGAAAATATGAAGTCCTCGAAAAGAAATAAAATCTCTAGGAAATGTAATTAAATTGTGTTAATCTACCAAACATCGCCCAGTTTCACAATGACGTAAGTGATGCTTTTCAAATCCCATAAATTATGAACAACTTCGTTGAGAAAATTTTATCTTTCCAAATCTACTTGTTATGCGCCGAAATATATGTGAAATTGCATTTACATCTCCTCAAAAGTCTAGAGTTATTTTCTCCCAATTAATATCTAACTCTTATATTTCCAAGTGTTTGCCTTCAGCTTATGGTTTTCCCTGGCGTGCCTTTATACAGTAAACCTTGGAGAGAGTTACAATGATGAAATTGCAAGAACCAATATTCAATTTGGCTCCATATCTCAAGCAACATAAAGATGCCCACCACACAGAATTCAATAACCAACACCCAGCCAAGTGATGCATAAGAATTGCCCATTCTACAAGGAGCATTTAGCAAACACAAGTTGTCGTTGTAACCCTAGCCAAGATGCTCAAAGCCACAACTGTTCCAAATGTTGCTCCACTTATCTGCATGCCTACCTAAGGCAGGCTGCCAAACATGTTCATTAAGAATCACCCAAGGCACCATGTAGTTAAGGTTCCAACCAATGCTGCCATAAAAGTTCCTAAGAAAAGGATATCTGAGTCTCAATTTTATCTAAAACTGTGGCACAACACCTACCACAAAGATCTCAATCCAAATGATAAATACTACCAACTCTTTCACTGTAAACAATAACTGATAACATCTTTCACTCAAAGAACGCATAATGCAAGGGCTTCCACCTCCTAAAGTGGAAACTCAAGAAGAAGCAAAGCAATGGAGAATGCATGTTTCCATAATCAGTAAAAGAAACCAACTTCTCAAGCCCTGAAATCAAAGGTCAATGAGACCACTAAAAATGCCTTTGAAGCGCTGTTGTGGTTTAAATCCAACAACCCAATCCTAAAAAAAAAAAAAAAAAAAAAAAAAAAGATATCTTTCTAAAAGGAATCAAGCCGTCCAATTCCAAAAAAGGCAATGAAGAGAGAGAATGACTCCATATGCATTGAACCCTACAAACTCCTCTGATTAATGAAGTAAAAGAAAGATCAAAGAGTATTTGAGGATGTTCAAATTAATATCCCTGAAGCTAGACATGGGGAACATTCAGTCAAGGCTGCAAGGAAGTCTTCCTGCAAGCACTTGTCCAGTCAAATAGCCTTATACGATGAATATTGAGTAAAGGTGTCGAGGTGGGCACACATCTTCATAGACAATTATCCAAGCAATGTCATAAGGTAATGTCATAACATAACCAAAGGTATTGTAAGAAATTTGCATTAAAACGCATTATGTCACATGCAACCATGTATAAATCGTAGTCCATGCTTTTTGCAAGGGAAAGAATGTTATAAGTTTCAAAATTACATAGAAAAAATCATAACCAATGACAAATAATGACTACTCTGCCTACAAAATCATCGGTCGAACTAACAAAAATGGGGCGTTTACATACATAGCACAAAATTATTATGTATTTACATATCTCACACCTAAACTTTCTTATTTACACAACAATAGCATTATTGCCACTTCTTAAAAGTGAAATACATGTTTTCATGTGTAGGTTTAAAGCACCAAAATATTATGTATGTTCATATGAATGTTTAGGTGTGAGATATGTAAATACATAAAAATTGTGCGCCAAGCATGTAAATTTCTCAACAAAAAACTAGGTAGCTATATTCCAAGAGTCCTATAATCACAAATTATTACGTCAATAAAGAATGAATATGTTATAAGAGATGAAAGATTAAATGAGGGGAATGAGTATACTATAATGACTGAAAAGTTGAATTTGAGGAACATACATGTGATGTAAACCATTAATAATCTAAATAAAAATAGCTTAATCTGGCAATTCATTTTTCACATATGGCCTTCTCAAGAACAGCACCAACAAATGCTTAAAAAACATCTTCAATATGTTAAACATGACTATTTAAGATAGAAAATATGTCATATCAATGTAAGGAGCCACAATTTTAACCATCATTTGTTTCACCTTATGCTTAGCCAATAGGCATATAACCAAAACATGTGAAGATGCGATCTATAAAGAAAGTGAACAAAGATGAACAAATAAAGTTCTATAGATTTGATCATAGATAATTTACCTGATTTCCTTTTTAAACCCTCAGTATTTGAACCAGGAACTTCTCGATATACAAATGCATAAGAATTATCTAGCGATAAAAAGAGGTAAAAATTATGAGAGATGCATGATAAATGCATCAATATTAACTAAGAATTAAATACATAGGCAAAAAATTCAATTTATAACAAGAGAGAAAAAAAAAAAGAAGATAGACAATTGGCATACACGTACAGATGTGTTGATAAGTACATCTATTACATGAATTTTGTTATAGAATTCAAGGAAGAGTATATTGACTATTTAATTATATTTTATTCTTGATAAACAAAAAATAAGGTAGAAAATAAATATTTTTCATAAATATTTGAGTATAATACGTACATAGGACCATTAAGTATGTTAAGTTTTCTACAGCGGAAGGTGCATCGATTTACCTCCATGTGGGGGTGAAACAAAAGACAAGATATCTCCATGTGTCAATCTGGCTTTAGAATTCTTTCTAAGCTTTACCCAATTAAGGTAAGTCCCATTGGTGCTGCCAAACCACTAAAATCAAATAAATGTGACACCATAAAACCAATAATAAGCACAAATCACTATATTTGAGCAGCTCACCTGGTGTCTTTCAAAAAGGCTGAGAAGCGGATGCTGGAATCTGCCTTACCATCTGTATGAGTCTCTCTTTCTCTAGAAATTTTGCAATGATTTGCACTAATGGAGATAGAATTGATCTGGAAACGATCCTCTACACAACGGCCAATGCAAAGCTCATCCTCAGTCAATAGCATGTTGACTCCCTTTTTTTTTCAACAGCAACACAAAATTTCACCAGAGGACCACAACGGTAAGAAATTCAATAATGCAAATAAAATTCTGAGTAAAAGAGCACACACATGAAAAAAATTGTGGATGTTCTATTTGTTATTATTTGGTTCGCTGCATGAGATTAAACAATGTGCATTTACATGCTGGTTCTTTATCCTAAATGGAATATTAAAAAAGAAAAAGAAAAGGGAGATTTACAAGCCTATCACCCACTATGTATAAGCATATAAACCACCTAAGCTTCAATTTTTACCTACAGACCACCCAACCCTAAACCCTAAGACCTAAAAAAAAAAGGAATGGGAACTACAAAAATTATTTCACAAAAGAAGGAAGACAAAAGTCATTCTTTCTCTTCACAATGTTGGCAACTCCTGAATATTAAACAGAAGTCATTTTTCTCTTCACAATGTTGATAAACCCTTTCACAATGTTGGCAAATCCTGAATAATATTTCACCAAATACTTTTGACACAAAAATCAGTCATCAGGAGCCAAATTACTCGAATCGCGATCCACATGCCAGTTCTTACAGGAAAAGGAACCCAGAATAACAATAATGAAGCTTATCAGTCTGAGAATAAGCCCTGTAACTTGATATTGCAAAATTAGTCAAAACTTCAAAACAAAAGGTGACTGAAATAAGGAGTTGAGACATGAAAAATCAATTTTTCAAACTTCACAGACCAACCTTTTTCAACCTAAGTGAGATGAGCATTCATAATATCCAGTATGGGATAATCAATTAATTAATTAAATTCCTAGATTCAGAGAAAATACTTTATTAGACATAATTAAGACTATAAAACTAAGTTCAAAAACAGCATACTTCAAATTCACAAGATCAATGCCACGCTGGAAATAAACATCCCACTCCCTATAACCTACTATTTCCCTGAGAAGGCTAACTCGGGTTATGCATTGATAGCACAAGAGCATATGAAGGAGAGCGGCTGTTGGAGGCCTGGTTATAAGGCGAGGGCTTTAGGATTAGGGACAGGGTTTCGGCGGGAGAAGACTAATAGCGAGAAATTATAATGGATGGAACAGAATTACCTGGGGACGAAGGCGTGCATTCTTGGAGATTGCAGTGAGAACGGCCCAGACGCCGGGTTCGGGGTTGGGGAGAGGTTGATCGGAGATGATGCCGGCGACAGCTCTTATCTCGTCTTGGGGATTCACCGCCGACTTAGGGATCGGAGAGCTCGCCGCGGATACTTCCCCATTGGAGGGCTCCCTGGCTCGATCGACTGGAAATTCAACTGCCATTGCCTGCAGCCTTCAGAGCAATGCTGCTGAGCGCTGGCTAATGCTGTAAGGAATGTTATCATCATTTCTTGATCGTTTTATGAAAATTTCTCGAAAAATTATTCGGTCCGACCACCGCATGTTCTCTGCATGCGGTAGCAAATGAAAAATAAACACGTGTAATGGTGGGCCCTCAGTGAAGAGAAATAAGCAGAATGCGTGACCCGACCCGAACTCCGCCCAATAACCGAAAAAAGCGTATATTTGTGCTTATGGAATCCCGCCAAATCTAGCATTTGGACATTTTCGATCCCGCCAAATAGGAATAAGTGGCTTATGGATGTAGATTTTTTTTATTTCGTCGTCTGTTAGTAGTCGACGAGTAGGGCAGAGCTCGTCTGTTAGCATTCGACGAGTAGGGCGGAGTTCTTGTTCTGTGCCGAGCCCACATTAAATGGATTTCTCTTTTGACCAAGAAATATTGATGAAATCTGAGAATGATGGTGATCAGCTTGGATCATTAGCTGCGTCCGGAAGTATTCCTCAGGTAGAGTTCTTTCTTATGTTGTGTGTGCTGCGATTAATGGCTTCCAAATGATAGTATTGCTGGGCTCGATGTTTAAGTTGTCGTAATGGTATTATATTTCTGGTATTATTGTGGTTGATATTGTTTTTTCTGATATTATTTGGGTCTCATTTAGGTTTTATCATGGGTTTATTATAGTGTTATTGTGGTTGTATTATGGTAGTATTGATGAATTATAGGCGTTCAAGAGAGAGTGTGTTATTATGGTATTATTACTGTAGTATTATGGTTGTATTACATATGATGGTGTTATTTATTGTTGTATCTAATTAGTGTTTTAAACAGTGTTATGTTAAAGTGCTATTTTGGTGTTATCATTGTTTTATTATGCTAGTATTTTTGTATTTTTATTTTTGAAGTATACTTTTGTGTTATTATGGTATTATTGTTGTGGTATTATGATTGTATTATGTATTATGTTGTTATTGATTTATCATTTCGTACCAGCATGATTGTATTTACTAATTGGTTACGTTGAAGTGTTCTTTTGTTAATTTAATGGTGGAATGTTTGAAAGTTGCAGCTCCCCGAGCCTTTGACTATGTGCATTGATCCAAATGCGGATAGTTTGCTTCGCGCGGTGGTTCATAATGAGAAGGAAGCCTACGAAAATTATTGTGCATATGCACATCATATTGGATTCACTGTGCGAAAGGACCATGTTGGTTTTTGGCCTAATTCAAAAATGATTAAGACAAAGGATTTCATTTGTGGCAAGGCTGGTTTCAAGAAAGAATTGAATAACAATGTGTCGGTGAAGTACAGAAGAGGGGACACGAGGACTGGTTGTCCAGCCATGATCCGATATGTCGTCGATGTAGAAGGTAACTGGTCAGTTAAAAAATTTATAGAAACTCATAACCATCCTTTGGCGGCAGACGGTGACAAACATCTATTGCGTTCTAGCAGAAAAATGGGTGATGTCAGTGCACAAGTGCTCAGATCGATGACAAAATCAGGGATCAGAACAAGCGATGCCTTTAGTTT